GGCACTGGCTCATGTCCTGGCTGCTTCACTTCCCAACCCAGTGACAAGGAAAGCAGTGGAGAATGGCCCAAGTCCTTGGGAACCTGCACCCATGTGGGAGACGTGGAAGGAGTTCCTAGCTCCCAGCTTCACAATGGCTCAGCTCTGCCCACTGCAAACATTTGGAATGGGAACTCTATGTAACTGCATTTCCAAGTAAAATAATTTCTTTCAAAAATGCATTCAAAAAATACATACATACATATACACCCTGGCACAAATTTAAGGATGAAAAGAGATTTGCAATGAAAATTAAGAAAACACTGAAGAAAAACCTGAAGATACCCAACAACAAAATGAAAACAATGCCAAAGAAAGAAAGAAAGAGACAGAGAGAAAGAAAGAAAGAAAGAAAGAGAAGGAAAGAAAGAGAAGAGAGAAAGAAAGAAAACCCAAGTATCATCACTCTGTCCCAGGGTCTGCACTGGCAGCAAGTCTGACTCAAGAGATGAAGCCAGCAAGCAAACAGTCACTCTGATGTTGGAAGGAGGTCACTATGTTAGCCACCATGTTAAGTGCTAGCTCCCTAAATAATATTTTTTTAAAATGATGATGTTTACATGATTGATTGGGGGTGGGAAGGATTGAGGGTTAGGGGAAAGTGGGTGAGATCATTGTTTGCAAGTTTCCTTTTCTTCCTCCTGTATCTGGGGGCAAGGGAGGAGATGAGAAGAGAAGCTGCACTCAGCCTTCCAACTGCCTCAGTACCTGGGGTGGGGAATGGCCACCCAATATCATACCAGGGTCCCAATGGGAAGCATGCTCTGAAGGTTCTGCTCAAGTAACTTTAATAGTTCTGAAATGCTGTTAGTTTTGTTGCTTCAAGGATGAGAAAATCCATCCAAGGACCATTGGCTGACACAGTCCACCTTAGAGTTTCCATTCGCCCAGATATATGCTGTCAACACTTGGCTGGGCTAGTTGTCCAGTTTGTTTTACCCTCCTTCCTCTGCTGTGGTAGCAGATGTCCACTGCACTTCCCAGTGGACTGGCATATCCTCCATGTGCACCTGGGTATGCCATCCACTACTCTGCCTTAGCTATTGTGGAGGCCCACTTCTGATACTTGCACTCCACAGTCAGTCCACTGGTCCTAGGATTCAACACACGGTTGGAATTCTGAGTGCAGTGGTTCAGTTGGGTGAATCCCACAGAGACTTCGTCTCTGCTGAACCCAGACCTGACTCTGTGTGTGCTTGCCAGTACAGGGTCTGGCTTAGTCTGACAACACATTAGCCTGTGCTGGGTCAGTTCTGTGTCAAGCCCATCTCTTACACAAATGAATGGATGCTTCATCCAGCCCAACCCAGCCCACTACACATTTGATCCTCAAACATACCAGCAGGAACTGTAGCCTAGTCAGAGTGACCCCCCAAAATCACCATCAATGTACTTCTCAGTATGTGCAGCAGACTGGTCCTGTCTGACACCATCCCATTCAGCTCTTGTATACATCAATGGGCGTTTTAGCCTAGTTCAACCCAACAAACACTGTTATCAGCCCACACTCATTCCAGTAGATGCCACTGCTTGGCCAGACAGTCCCACCTGCAGCCCTGCTTCTCATGCTTACCTGTGGGAGTCACAGCTCATTAGAGAGGAGCCCACAGTTTCCCTACTGGGAGATCTTGCACTCTCCTGGTGGTTCTGCAGTCTAGCTTGACAGGAGTTGCCCCTAGTCCCAGCATTTGCCAGCCCTGACGCTGTGGCAAAGCCTGGGCAGCCTGCACTACTTTTGACTCATGCATGCACAGTGTTTATAGTCACCCGGCCTTGCTGCCTTTCCCAGCTCACATGCAGCCCTATGGGTATTGGTCTGGCCTGGTCTGCCCTCAGTCCCAGTTCTCACTCCCACCAGTACGAACCCCTGCTGCCACCCTATCATGCTAACCCACCTCTCCCTGGTCTCACATGTACTGGCGGGTGCTGCAGCCCGGTATGGCATGGCCTGCCTCATCTTGGCATTTGTCAGCTGATGCTGCAGCCTGGCCTGGCATGTTTTGTGCCTAATTCCAGCTCATGCTGGTGGGAACTGCAGCCTAGCCTAGCCTAGCCAGCCCTCAGTCACAATCCTAAATGTGAACTGGCTGCTGTTACAGCCCAACTAGGCCTGTCCTGCACCCTGTCCTGGTTCTCAGCTCTGCCAGTGGCTGCCAAGAACGGGTCCAGCCTGGCCTGCCCCCATATCTGAGCCACAGGTATACTGGTGGGTACTGTAATCGGGCCTGGGCTGGGCTGCTCCCTGCCCTGGTTCTTGTGCTTACCTGCAGGGACTGTGTCCTGACGGAGATGTTCCCCAAGCTCCTCTATCAGGTCTCCTCCGAGTTCTTTCAGAAAAGCAGAAATTACACCATCACACGTGTGTTCTCAAGTAGTCGGAGGTGTCCTGGCTTGAAGAAAAGATGAGACTTGCAGTTAGATGATGATACATTAGGAGACCTTAAACCAACTTGAAACAGGAAAAAGTTGAAATAGTGGCAGACTACCCATACTTCATGTATGATTAGATGAGAGCGTAATATGCAACAGAGAAGTTAGGATAAGTTGACTTGAATTTGAAAAAGAAAATCTCAAGGAGTTACTTTGGCATGAAACCATCATCCTCACTGCTAACACTCTCCTTAGGGATCCACACAAATGAATCATTGCAACTCAGGAAATCCAAATGCATGGAGTATCTTAATGCATCAATGAAAAACATCCTCAGGTTGTTGATTAAACAACAAAAATCTTTCCAAAGCAGCTGGAAGATGGCCCCAGTGCTTGGGCCCCTACCACCCTCAAGGCAGACCCTGATGAAGTTCCTGACTTGGGCCTGGTCCAGCCCTGATCTTTGAGCCATTCGGGAACCACAGGGCAGCTGAAACATTTGTCTGTCTCTCCTGCTCTCTCTGCAATTCTTTTTTTTTTAATTATGTTAGCTTTTTTATTATTTTATAATATATTTCAAAAAATGACCTTACAGATGTCTTATCTGCTCTATAAGACCTGGAATAAAAGAACACTTAGAATTAGAACACAGAGACATTAAGCTGTAATACTCACTTGTACTGAACCATTACTACCAAAGGGTAAGTATTTTTTTTAAATAAGCAGATGTGCGGCTATGCAAAATAAAATACAAACTTGTTAAAACAGAACAGTAAACTTGACTTTAATAGCTATGGAAAGGAGGTGGTTTTGTTTTCTTTCTTCAACACATCTGGTTCTGGCAGCAAGTTGCATTATACATTTAAAGCAGTGTGTGCCCTGAAAGCTCATAGCTTCTGTTTGTGCGTATAACTTGGATCAGAGACCAGACACATGGAAAAGCACTGTTCTCAACACCCTCAACATCTCTCCTTCCAGGAGGTCACAATGCTAACAAACTCAAGACTTTCCTTGCTGATGGTACTTAGTAATTGTTTTACTCCAGTTAACACTGGATGCTTTAATATTCTCTAAAAGAGAAGTGATGAAAGCGTGTAGAAACCCTCCAGGGTCCAATTTTCACTTCCCATTCCCCAAGCAGTAAAATAGCAGCTCTACATGTTATAAAAAAAAAAACAGAGAAACAAAGAAAATTTAAATTTCTTATTCGTTTTTAACCATAGTAACTTTACAATGCTTTTAGATTTAGTTGAATTTCCAAAATGAAAATGTCAGTTGTCAAATATTTTAGGAATTTATTAAAGTATTACATACAATTGATTTCCTTTTAGCTACCCCTCCCCCTCAAAAAAGTATATATGGTGTATGTGTGTGCATTTACTTATCTTACCTTAACTAAAGTTCTCTTTTTCTGGTTGGACATGAGAAACCAGTTTAAGCAACCAATGCTTGCTTTTATTTCTATTATAAGCAATAATTCAGATCTTTTTTCACTAAATATGACTGCAGCATTTTCATAATAAAATGCACAAAAGGCAATACCAAAAAATGCCTTCTGAACAGGCTTCTGACAGGCAACCCACTAAGTTAGACTCTACCAAAGTGGCACTACGACAATATAGGCATCCAGTTTCTTTTCCTTTTTTCAAATTTGTCAGTTATTTACCACAATTATTTTGTCTAGTAGGAGACAATTTCATGCTGGACTTAACTCTTAAGAGTTGACATAAACCAAAACTGGACAGCAGTCAACTAGAATCACATTCCAATGGTCTCCAAACATACTTGGCTAAAACACATCTTTTCTCCTTGATTGATTTTGCATTAATTTTATTAAACGTATAGCAAATAACACTGCAAAGTTTTTCTCAGAGCTTTTTCTTAGGGGACTCTGCAATTCTTGCCAACAAGTACCTGGTGAACTTGTAGACAGCGCTGTTCCTGGCTCCCCAGCAGGTGGCGGCCCCGCGCCCTGGCCGCACGCCCGCTGCATCCCGCCGGCAGCACAGAGGCTCGCGCGGCCCGGGAGCGCTCGCCCCGCAGCTCGGGCGGCTGGCAGGCGGGCTGGCGCCGGTCGCGTCGGCCGGCAGCAGGGCCCATGTGGAAGCTCCTCCCGGCCGCGGGCCCAGCCCGAGGTAAGGACAGAGAGGGACAGAGGGCCCGGGTTCGGAGGAGCGCCAACGCGGGGAAGGAAGTCGGGGAGGGTCGCTTCCGGTCGGGTCCCCTTACCTTCCGGGGCACGGCGGAACGGGAAGGAAACCGGGGGTCTGGCACGCGCGTGGTGGTCCCGGCTGCGCCGTGGCGGGGAAGGCCGGCTGTCCTCGGCCCCGGGGTTGGGCGGGTGGACGCCCGGCCCTGTCCCGCGCTGTGCAGTGGCCGTGGGACCCCGGCGCTGTGCAGTGGGCATGGGCGGTGGGGCGGCTGGCCCTTCGCTGAGCCCTGGCTGAGGTGGCTGAGGAGAAACAGGTGCACGGAGCAGCTGTCTGTTGTTTCAGACGCGTTTCCGTGCTGTCAGCAAGAGGGGACAGCCCAGACTTTTTCTTTTTGAAAGAGAGACCAGAATCTTGCATCTCCGAGTTTACTGCCCTAGATGTGTCCAACACTGGGGCTGGTCAGGCCCAAGCCAGGAACCCCGGGATGCAAGGGCCTCAGTTGCTGTCTGTCAGAGTGCGCCTTGGCGGTGCTGGGCTGGACCCCCTGCACAAACCTGGGATGCTGGTGTCCCAGGGGAGCTGCAGCAAAAGCCAGGCCACTTCACCCCGCCCCTTTCCTGTGTGTCTGCACTTCCCTAGTGGAAGTTGCTAGTTGCCTGCCTGCTGTTTGTGGTCCTTATTGGCTGATAAAAGGGTAAGCCAGTAAAGCCATGATTGCCTGTGTGCTCAGGGTGTTCACATTGTGATTGGGAAAAAAAGGGTCTCCCAAGAGGCAGTGTTGACTGGCTATGTAAGGAGGATTAAAGAAAAAAAGAAAGATTTCTTTATTTCACTTGAATGAGAGCAGGAAAGACAGAGAAGTCTTCCATTCTCGGGATGGCCTCCATGGCCAGAGCTGGACCAGTGCAAAGCTGGGAGCCAGAAGCTTCGTCTTGTCTCCCATGTGTATATAGGGGTGCAGGAAACTTGGGCCATGCTCCACTGCTTTCCCAGCCAGAAGCAGGGAGCTGGATGGGAAGTGGAGCAGCTTGGGGTTGAACCAGTGCCCACATGCGATGCCAGCATGCAAACTGAGAATTAATATGATCTGGCCTCTGAAGGACTTTTGTAAACACCAACATAGGCATCCCTATGAACTTGCACCAGTGCAAGGCCAGACCGTAGAGATTTCAGTTTGTCTTGTGGCTCTCAGAGTTCCTGTGGATGTGTGGAAAGAAGACAGACCTGAGACAAATTGAGTTTGGCACAGCATACCTGAGGAAAGGCTTCATGAATCAAGGTGTGGCCCGAGCCAGTGGAGGTTGAGAGAGCAGTACCCAACAGTCCAGCAGACGGTAGGAGGTGACTTCCAGAAACAGCGGGATTGGTTAGTTGCAGCTTACTGTTGGCCTGGTCTGAGTGTGCAGTGAGAAGGCATTTGCCCTGCAGGACCTGGTATGAGTAGGTGACAGGCTGAGACTTAGCCATCTGTTACAGGGATAGCACTGCTCAGACCAGGCAGACATTTGGCACTGTGTAGCAGGGCTAGCCTGGGAGTCCTGTTCAGCCTGTCTCCAGCTGTTGGCTAAAGTGCACCCTTGGCCACAGCTCAGAGTTGAGTTACTGCCACCTGTGGGCAGACCTAGCTTGAGTCCAGGGCTCAGATACCCTGGATGTTTGGGCAGTGAGTCAGAACGCGTATCCCTGTCCCCCAAATAAGTAAAGTAAGGTAAAAATTTACAAACAAAGAATAGGGGCTGGTGTGATGGCTCAACTGGCTAATCCTCTACTGTTAGCACTGGCATCCCATATGGGCACTGGTCCTTATCCCAGCTGCTCCACTGCCCATCCAGCTCCCTGCTTGTGGCCTGGGAAAGCAGTCCAGGACGACCCAAAGCCTTGGGACCCTGCACTCAATATGAGAGACCTGGAAGAAGCTCCTGTCTCCTGGTCTCAGATCGGCACAGCTCTTTTGTTGTGGCCATTTGGGGAGTGAACTAATGGATGGAAGCTCCAGTCAAGTTCATATTGGGACTTTACTTGGGATTTCAGTAAATGTATACTTTGGGAAAGTATTAATTCCTTTCACTGTTGTTATTCCTTGAGAGAAGTGGTATGCCCTTGCATTAATGTAGGTGATCTTTTGATATTCCTCAATAAGGGTTTAATAGAAAATGGGAGTTTAATTTATGTAAAACTGATGAACATTGAAATAGCAAAGTGTTTTCTTGACACATCATGAATTTTATCCTATATAATGTACACATTTATGTATGTGTGTTTGTGTCTCATTATTTTATTCCTCTTAGAACCATACAGACTTTTGACTGGCACTGAGTACATCGTTGGAAGGAAAAACTGTGCTATTCTAATTGAAGATGATCAGTCAATCAGTCGAAATCATGCAGTGTTAACCGCTAATTTTGCTGTGACCAACTTGGTATGTTCCTGATTGTATTTTGCTAGCTTGCAGTGAGAGTTGAAATCAGTACATTGCCTTGATGTGAGAGAGAGAGAGCTGTTTGAGCATTTTATGCTTTTGTTTCAGTGACTTAGAAACTTGGAGAAAGTAGGTTGTATTTGTATTTGTTTACTTAACAACATTGACTGTTCCGTGGTGAGAGTTATTGGGCTTAGCTGTGATACATTCATGATGCTCGCTCTTAAAGAGAGTATGTGACTGATGGACACAAAGTCTGGGTGTGTAAAGGGAGGCTCCGCAGTGGCAATGACGGTTTTCCCGGGAAAGACAACTGTTGCTTCTGATCCACAGCTCTTTTGAATGGCTTGGAAGGTATTTGTTAGCTTTCACCAGAACCACGGGTGATGAGAGTGATAAAAATATATGAATAAATACGTTCAAAATCATCGTGGTAGGAACAAGAAAGTAAGCAGTTAGTTTGAACAAATGTGACAAATGCACAAGTGATGGATTAGTTTACTGGCATTTAGGTTTTGTGTCTATTTGTGTTGTAGAAAAGCATTATTATAGAAGTTGCAATAGAGAAAATAAAATTATTACCAAAAGTCAGAACCTCTAGGCTTTATGCCTTGTTTTCATTCGCCCAGTGTTTACCATGTGCTTTTGATAATGTAAACAAAACAAAACGAAAACTTAGGACTGAAGCTGTCATGTTATGCATGAAGCAAACTGCTGCCAATCATAAAATTCTCAAGTGTGTGAAATGGAAGGGTTGGGAAAGTCCCAACTGATTTACAGAAATAAAGAAAAATGTGTGTTCTAAGAGTTATAATTCTGAAATTCAGAGATTTTCTTAAAGGGAGATATTTATGTTAATTGCTAATTAGTCCTTTGAAGGCAGCCAGAACAGTAGCTGTCATTCCCTGTGGTGGCAGGATATGCAGCTATTTATTATTTTACCCTTTTCAAAAGTTATCAAATGTCTCCTGTGAATCATTTCCCCCTGGATTGTATGTGCTTGAGCTGTAAAAGACTTGTAATTACTTCTCTAATTTTCAGAGTCAAACTGATGAAATCCCTGTATTGACAATCAAAGATACTTCTAAATATGGTACCTTTGTTAATGAGGCAAAAATGCAAAATCACCTTCCCCAAACTTTGAAGACAGGGGATAGAGTCACCTTTGGAGTGTTTGAAAGTAAATTCAGGTATGGATTTGTTTATTTAATTTTTGTTGTTAAAGATTTACTTTTACATGAAAGGCAGATGAACAGAGAGAAGGAGAGACTGAGAGATCCTGCCTTCACTCCCAAGTTGCCACAACAGCCAGAGGTGGGCCAATCTGAAGCCAGGAACCAGGAGCCTCTTCTGAGTCTCCCACATGGCTGAGGAGTCCCACAACTTTGGGCTGTCCTTGACTGCCTTCTCAGGCCACAAGCAGGGAGCTGGATCCACGTTTGGGAAGCTGGGGTATGAACTGTTGCCCATATGGAATCCTGGTGGAAGCTTGGTGTACCAAACCAATGGCACTGGCTCCACACGTTTTAAATTAGATTAAAGTGGACAATTTTATCTCACAACAATTGAATTTTAAAGCAAAGATAAGGATTATAAGGTGACAGTATAATTGACTTCCCGTTTAGCACAGTAGTGAACTCTGTGTGGTTGGTATATTTTGTGGATCACAGGTGGGGGGTGACAGGTGAGTAAAAGTTTGTGTTAGTCCCTGTGAGTTGTGATAGGAGCCTCGTTTGTTTGATGCTTCATAAGTTAAAATGTAATGTTGATGTTGGCCATGTCTTTTTCTTCTTTGGGAATACAAGACTTAGGAGGTAAGAATTTCCTAAGTTACAAATTTATAATGTGTCAAAATTAAACGAATAATATGTTGTAAGTTTAAAGTTGTAAAGTATTGTAAAGTTGTAAAGTCTTTGTAACTGTGATAACGTAACTTTATTGTCATTCACAGGGTAGAGTATGAGCCTTTGGTTGCCTGTTCTTCTTGTTTAGATGTGTCTGGGAAAACTGCTCTAAATCAAGCTGTGTTGCAACTTGGAGGACTCACTGTGAACAGCTGGACAAAAGAATGTACTCACCTTGTCATGATGTCAGTGAAAGTCACCATGAAAGTAAGTTGAACTGTGTTCCCATATTAAAACAAGTTCTGGGACCTTGAGTGAACTCACCACAGCACAGAGTTAGCACCATGTGTCTCTTCTGTCAGATTGTCTTCCTCCAGTCTCTGACATTGTCTCATGGTCTCATGCTCCCTCAGTTAAGTTATAATCACACAAAGAAATCTTTGCTGTATCTTTAAAGCCCTGAGATGTATAGATATGTACCTTCCAAAGATGCTGACTAGTCATTAAAGCAGTGATGTATTTTGGTATATTTTCAGGTTTTGCATTTTCATCAGATTTGATATATCCAAAGGTAATTGAAGAATGGCATTTAAGATGTGATTCGTTAAACAGGCTGACTGTGCAAAAGATATGTGGGATTGTTTTAGGCTGAAAAGCAACAAATACTTTGATTCCTGTGTTTGAAGATGCAAAAACCTTTTGTTATAATTAATTAAATATTAGTGTTATATTCTAATTTATACATAAATGGCTCTTATGTGTGTACATATATGTGTATGCAATAGCTGTCAAAGAGAAAGGCTCACTGCCCAGATTGAACCTGAAGTTAAATTTGTACCATGGTGAAGTTACCCTGAACAAAGATAGTTCCCTCTTGGAAAATTTAGGACATTGATTTTTTTGCTGCTGCAGCAAGACTTACTGAAAAAATACTCATGTTGATAAATTCACAGGTAATAGATTCATAAAACATTTGTAAAACCAAAATATGCATGAGGACATATTTAAATGTTAGCTCAGCATAACCCCCTTAAGATATTAAGTTACTCAAATGGAATAGGTAATGATACATGGGTTTAGAAGGCCTGAAATAAGGCCAAAGATGCTTTGATTGTCTTGGGAGATTTTGCCAAGTCCTCAGAGCTGGACACTTCTAGTACCTGACATGCTAATGACCACCATTAGAGACACCACCATGGAGTGTGCAGCGTTTCTTCTTTGGTGTTTCTGATCACTTTTTGCTAAAAAAAAAAATAACAAAATAAACCCTGATCATTAGTTTTTGCTCAGCGTTCTCAATGCATAGTTAGGCTTATAGGGTTTTGTTTTGTTTTGTTTTGCTTTTTGCTTTTGTTTTGTTTAGATTATTGAATGTTAGGACCAGAGGGAAACCTGAGGAGTATTTAGTTCAGCTTTTATATTTTGAAGAGAAATTGCGACTCGGAGCAGTTACGTGCTTAGCCCAGAATCGCGCGTGTTGCAGTTTTATTCAGTTGGATATTTCAACCCAGCCATGGCTCTTCCATACCCCTACCAAGCTCACACATGGTTCAGTAAGGGCTGAGACCTAACCTAGTCTGTCACACAACCCTCCCCGGTCCTCCAGAGCACCAGATGGTGTTGGAATTTGGCCTGGCTTGGTGCTTCCCATCCCAGTCCACAATTGTGCCAAGTGAGATTACGATCGTATCCTGATCAGAATGTAGCCTCAGTTCCAGCCCATGCGCTCCTTGGTGGGAAACTCAACCCAGCTAGGGTGTCCTGTTATTTCCCCAACCGGGCCTCTGCCCTGCCATAGAGCAGGTGTAGGCCGGTGGTTGTTCTGTCTCTGTTTGGCAGAGCCCCTCACTTGTCGTGGCCCCTTGGATGCTGTGGCTTAGTGCCTCTGCCTCACACAGATCAGTATGTGCAAGGACCTACCTGGCATGAGCTGTGCTCCAACCTGATTTCTGTTGTTACTTGTGAGTTAAGGTTTGTTCAGCCTTGCCCCTTCTGTCCCCTTCCAGTGGCAGCCCGGCCCACCCCACATCCTGTTTAAAGATGCACATTTGGGTGCTGCTGCCTTGACCTACCCTGACTGTTGTGGATTCCTTTACCCATGAGTGATGGCAGATGTCGTGGTCACACCTAGCTTAGACCATTGCAACCCCAGCTTGGGAACTAACCCGGGGGATTTGTATTCCAAAGGGTTGGACCCACACAACCCCACAGAGCCTACCCCCAGCCCAAGTTCTCTTGTGTGCTGGAGAGTGTCTTGATTTGCCAAATGTGACCACTCCACAACTCCAACACTCAGTCGGGCAATGGTACCCAACACTGCCAAAGAGGCCCCCATCCATAGCTTCGGTGTGGGCTAGTATATGGTGATCAGTGATGTTCAATACTAATATCCCATCTCTGTATTCATAATTGAGCTGTTGCATCTGTCTTACTAAAATTATCTTCTGGACACTTCCCCCAAACCACTAGGTCTTGGTCCCCTTGCCTGCTTGTATCTTTCATGACACTGTCACTGAGAATACCCGAAAATTCACTTTGCACCTACACTCAACCTAGTCTTAGTCATGAGTGACCCAGGCAGCAATTACATATCTTGAAAACCCCAGAGTTTGCCCTTCCGGGCGGCCAGCAGGCAAAGCCTGGCACCACTTGGTGCACTGGCCGCCCTGGGGGAGGCCGAGGACTCGTTCACTGCCTTGTGGCAGTGTCTTTGGCGTGAGTCCCCCGCATTGGGTCCGACCCGGCAGGGGCACCCCCCACAGTCGCCACACTGCAGGGAGCGTCAGTTGCCCCCAAGCCCAAGGACCGAACTCCTCCCAAACTCCCCCAGCCGCATGGTCTTAGCAGCTGGGCGGAGCTAGGAATTTCCACCCAGTTCCCAAGTTCCCTCATGGCGGACTTACCCTGAGGGAAGAGCTCTCTTGGGTCCTGGGGGAGGCCGAGGACTCGTTCACTGCCTTGTGGCAGTGTCTTTGGCGTGAGTCCCCCGCATTGGGTCCGACCCGGCAGGGGCACCCCCCACAGTCGCCACACTGCAGGGAGCGTCAGTTGCCCCCAAGCCCAAGGACCGAACTCCAGTCCTGTGTTGATTGAACTTAAATACTCTATGTTGCATTTGGATGATCTCATTCACATAGGAAGTTGGGATCTGTCAGATTCCAGTCTTTAGAGATACCCTCAATCTGGTCGCTCCTAACACCTGCATTATTGAAAACATATGTATAAACTGTATAGTTGGATTATTTCCTAGAATATGCCAGCTCTTTCTTATTTTAATTGCCCACAGTAGTATTTTCTAGTCCTTTATGAGTTTGTGGATGTGTGTTACTTGAGGCTGATAGCTTGATTCACGTTAGTTCACAGTTTCGTTCTCTCTTTATGTGTGCATCAGCTTCCACTGAGCCTAACCAGTTGCTCCTTGATTTACTGTGTTGAAGAGGCTTTATTCTATACTCTTACTCCTTCTGAAAGCAGTAAGGCTCCAAAGAAATTTCCATTTATCTCTTAATGTGTATTGCCTCTGCAGGATGGGTTAGATTTCTTCAGCCTGAACGTGTACTTGTAATGTTTTTCAATTGGAATGCATTTTTAAAGTCTTTGTGTTATTCTGCCTATCCCAAAGGACTACTGTGTCATTGGCTTCTGATAATTGAGTAGTTCTGGTTTGTGGTATAAAACTGAGCAAATATGAAATTCTATTTTACAGATTGTGACTTCGTTTATCAAATTAAGAAAAGGAAAGAAAACAATTATTAGAAAGGCATGTTTGTAGTTTATAACATGAATGTTTTCTTTAGAAGAAGCTATCATAATGACTATATATATATATCCACATATATTTTCTTTCTTTTAGACGATTTGTGCACTCATTTGTGGATGCCCCATTGTAAAGCCAGAGTATTTTACTGAATTTCTCCAAGCAGTTCAGTCCAAGAAACAGCCTCCACAAATAGAAAGGTATATTATGTGTTTCTAATTAACAACATATGACAGAAAAGATGAGCGCATTGACTTTCGGTTAACTCTCTGGAATTCTAGATGTGATAGTTGCTGTGTTCCACGTTTTTCTTGTGTGTGTGTATGTGTTCCATGTTAATGAGATTTTTTCAGTTAGTATGTAAAGAAAGAGTACCCCAAATTCTTAATTGGTTATTTCTTAGCTCTGTGAAACAGATGTTAACTGCTAATATATAACAAAAAACTGTTGAAGCATGGTAAATAGGTCAGCATTGCTCATGTGCCAGTGTCGGGGTCATGGGTGAGGTACCCTTGGTAGTGGGGCTGCAGCAACCCTCTTGGAGAACCACATATTTGCACGTAAATGTTGACGGCACTGGGCACTGCTTTTGTTACCTCATTTCAAAATGAGATCACTGACACAGTTTAGTAGCTCTAGATTAGTAATTCCATCTATAAAATCTGAGCACATGGCTTGCTCTCATCCTACTTGCTTGTTAAAAGAAATGTTGATTGTTGGTAATTGCAGCAAAATGTGGATGATACGTGCCAGATTTGTGAGCCACTAGACTTGGAGATCTGGCCTAGACTTGGAGAGGGGTAGTACCTAATACCACCCCAAGTCCCAGGTGAGGGGAGTGCCTCCTGAGGAAGGGGCCATCTGATTGACAAGTAGATAGACCACATTGCATAAGGTAGGGGGCTTTGGCTTCCAGTTGGTGATGCTAAGCTTGCTACTTATGTGTCCTGTTTCACTCTCCCACTAAGAGATTTCCAACCCCTTTTCTTAAGGGCTGCTGGAGGATATACATTTGTCTCATCTTCTGTCGCTGCTTCTTACTGATTAGGTGTGAAGATCTTCATGTCCTGGGTTCAGAAAGCTCTCTGCATCTCACCTAATGGCTACATCTCAGGAGCCATAGAAAACTTAGCTGATTCTGCTGGCTGTGTCCATAGATTACTGTCACTAACTCTGAGAAGTTTCTGGCCTTTTTTGTCTTTGAGGTGGCATCTAAGGACCTCAGCTGGTTTATAGGAGCAGGCTGACTCATTCGAGTGCACCTGGACATGCTCCCCTCCTCTGCACTGGAGTCAGCGCAGGCAGCACAGCATGCACTGTGTGTTTCAGCACTAGGACACACAGCCCACTCTGTGCTCCCTGAGATTGGGGATCCTGCCTTGTCTGGGGCCAACCAGTCCCGAAAGCCTGGGGTTCTTGGTGACACCAAAGGCTGTTGGTTGGATCACCCCACATTTCCTGCCATGGGTGCGACTGCCTGTAACCTGTTAGACCCCTAACCTGCTGCCCAAAAGCCATCAGTGCGGCCAGATTGTACGATTACAAGCTTACATTGATTCTATAGAATGACTGGCTATTTCAAATGGCCTTAAGTTTAGGAGTGTTAAGCAAGTTAAGAATTTCCAAAGTATTTTTATCAGCATGTTGTAGTGTTACTAATATTTTTATTTTATAAGGATTTATTTATTCTTATTGGAAAGACAGATCAGGTTTATGACGAGAAAGAGAGACAGAGACAAAGATCTTCCATCCGCTGGTTCACTTCCCAAATGGCTGCAACAGCCAAAACTGAGCTGATCTGAAACCAGGAGCCAGGAGCTTCTTCTGGGTCTCCCAGATGGGCACAGGATCCCAAGGTTTTGGGCCTTCCTCTGCTGATTTCCCAGGCCATAAGCATGGAGCTGGATGGGAAGTGGAACGGCTGGAACACAAATCAGCACCCATGTGGGATGCCAGTGCTTACAAGACAAAGATTTAATCTCTGAGCCATTGCACCGGGCCCACTCATTTTATTGTTAGAGCAGTAACGTAGTGGTTCATGTTCATAAGCATGTCTTATTGCATACATATGTATGAGCTATGTTTTATAGGACTGACAGATATAGATTTGTTAATATCAGCATCACCATAAACACATGGTTATGTGTTATGCTACATCACGATGGGTATGAAGTACTGGGTAGTAGTGGTAGTTTGTGATTTTTGTCCTTCTACTTCCAAAAATTTATTTATTTTATTGGAAAGGCAGATTTATAGAGAGTAGGACAGAGAGAAAGATTTTCATTCCCCTGGTTCAATGTCCAAGTGGCCACAATGGCCAGAGTTGAGTCGACCTGAAGCCAGGAGCCAGAAGCTTCTTCCAAGACTCCAATGTGGGTGCAGATCCCAAGACGTTGGGCAATCCTCCAAGGCTTGTGCAGGCCACAGGCAGGGAGCTGGATGGGATGTGGAGCAGCCAGGACACAAACTGGCAGTCAAATGGGATCCCAGGGCATGCACCGCAAGGATTTAGCCATATGGGATCCCAGTGCTTTCAAGGCAAGGATTTAACCACTGAGCCATTGTGCCAGGCCTGCACATCCTCTTTTGATGTCACCTTCAGCCTCATACACATCCTTTGAGGTCCTGAGTGTGGACATGGTCACCAGGGGAAATGCAGAAGTAGGCAGGTGACAGAACCTTGGAGAGCCACTGTCAGCAGGCTTCTGTGGACGTTGTCTGAGATGCTGAGTCTCCTTTGTAGCTTGCTCTTTGCTTTTCTGCTGGCCCCATCCACGTGGCCTTTCATTTTCTGCCCTGGTGGCCCAATGTGGTGCTGACCTCCTCCAGAGTGGCCAGAAGAGGATCAGGGTAAAGCATACACACAGAGGCGGCACAACAGCCTAGAATCACTGCCCATGTTACCTTGTGGATATTTGAAGATCTGGCCAAAGACTATCCAATGCTGGTGACCCTGAAGGGAAAAGAGACAGAGAAAGGAGGGAGGGAGAAAAGTAAAGAAGGAAGGCAGGCAGGCAGTAGTAGGTTTTTTTTTTTTAATATTTATTTTTATCTGGGGCCAGGTGTGGTTGTCTAACAGCTAAAGTACTCACCTTGAACACGCCGGGATCCCATATAGGTGCCAATTCTAATCCTGGCAGCCCTGCTTCTCATCCAGCTCCTTGCTTATGGCCTGGGAAAGTAGTGGTGGATGGCCCAAAGTCTTAGGATCCTGCACCCACTTGGGAGACCTGGAGGAAGTTCCTGGCTCCAAGCTTTGGATCGGCTTAGCTTCGGCTGGTGCAGTCTCTGGGGTGTGAATTATCAGATGGAAGATCTTCCTCTCTGTTTCTCCTCCTCTCTGTATATCTGACTTTGCAATAAAGATAAAATAAATCTTTACATCATGCATATGGCATAGGTGGGGGGCAGACCAGGCTGAACCCATTCACATCAACTGCTGGCGAATCTGAGCACCAGCATAGAGTGTGGGTCAGGCCAGTTTCAGTCACAACACATACTAGTGCACATTGAGGAATGCCAACGTGAGGTGAGCCGTACCAGATATGGTTGCAGTACCCAAACAGCACACGTGAGAACCGGGGAGTCGGGGGGGATAAAGGAGGTAAAGCTGACAGGGGAATGTTGGCTCCCCTGCTGGACAACCACTCCTACTGGAGAGCATGAGTTGGAATGTGGGCAGACCAGACTAGGCAGGGCTACAACACCTGTGGGCCTCATGTGAGCTAGACTTGGGGAAGGGCCAGGTTTGGCTAACTGTTCCGACTGGTGCAAACAAAAATTAGAGTGGGTGAGGGTTAGTTGGGCTTTGCCACATCATCAGATGGCAGAGGCTGGCACTGGAGGCCAATTCTGTTAAGTTAAGTGCCAGAACCACCTGGAGAGTGCACAATCCGGAAGTTGGCTTGGCCTAGTAGGGAAGATAGTGGGCACCTCCCTTGTGGGTAACCACTCCCACTGGAGAGCATGAAAACCAGGGCAGGGACAGGGGTGGCTAGACAGAAAGGCATCTGCAAGTGTGTGTGGGGGCTGGATAGTAGGT